TAGGTGCTTAGCACGGCCTGCATGGTATGCAACCAAGTTCTTCCCATGATGAGATTGTATGGTGAAGGAAGTTTAACAACCAAGAATTCTGCATCTACTGACTTGGTGCCCACCTGAACTAGTAGCGTGATTTTGCTTAAAGGATACTCCGGGTTAACGTTGAAGCTGAATAATGGGTACTTTGCCGGTGATAGATTCGAGTCAACGAAGCCGAGCTTGACAAATGTTTTATAATACATTATTTCCGAAGTACTTCCTTGGTTAATGAGGACATGCTCAATAGTGAATCTGTTTACGCGTAGCTCGATGACAAGGGGATCAGTGTGGGGGTGAGTTACTCCAACCAAATCAGTGTCATCAAAACTAATCCTCTCAGTTTCATGGGGCTGTTTCGCTGGCGTGATCGGCCTATGGGGCTGGAGTGCAACTGAATTGTATGCACCTCGGGTGATGTCGGTAAGCTGTATATCATGTGAATTACACAATTCACATAGGAATCTAGCCGTAGAGCTACTGTGTTTGATGAATTATTTTTTCGAACGTGTTGCGTAAGCCGGCCGTCTTGCACCAATTCCTCCAGGTGATCCTTTAGTGCATAACAACTATCAGTGTCGTGACTATGGTCTTTATGATACTCTTACCGTTTATCCCGTCTTCTCATATCGGGGGGTCCCATCATCTTGGGCGGCCACTTGAAGAACGGAAGGTGTTAAACTTTCGACAGAAAATTACTGATGGGATCCGTTAACTCCGTGTATTTCTTGCCTGAGCACCTTGTGCGCCTACTATCCACTTGATACTGTTCATTAGCTCGATGTGAACATTGGTCGTTTGATCGGTGCGAGTCATGCCTTTTATCTCGTTTAGGTTGATTCTGCCGCTCAGGGCTTCTTGACGGCATGGCGCTAATCGGCTGAACAATTCCCGACGTGGCCGTCTCAACGGCTTTACGTTCGGCTTTGACTTGAAGGGCATCATTTTCCACTTTGCAGTATTCTTCGACTTTCTTCATTAATGCCTAGACGACTTTGGAGGGACGCCTGGTTAACGAACTGCGAATGGGGGCTATCAGGATGCAATCCCATCTTAAAAGCGGTGATGGCCATGGAATCATTGCAAGCATCATCAACCAGATTAAAGCATTCCCAATAGCGAACCGAGTATTCACGAAGAGTTTCTTCCGGTTTAATTTGCATGGCCCGGAGAGAGTCGGCTTGCTTCGGCTGGACCTCATTAGTGATGAATCTTGCCCTGAATGACTTTTGGAGTTGGTGGAAGCTCTTAATCGATGCCGGCTCTAGTTTATAGTACCACCTCACGGCCAGTGGTCCTAGACTACTTGGAAACATTCGACACATGAGGGCTTCGTCGTTAGCATGAAGCGTCATCGCTTGCTTGTAATGACGAATGTGATCAGTGGGGTCTGACTTTCTGTCGTAGAGGGTGAACGATGGTGCCTTGAATTTTTTGGGTAACACAGCCCTGGCAATTCGTCGCACGAATGGGTCATGTTTATCTTCCTCATCCAAGTCATCGCTTCTCCCTCGTCTATGCCGTATATATGGAATTCCTTTAGATAAGTTGGATACATCAATGAACCCTTTCTTTCTGGGCTCCAGGGATGGTGAGTCTGAATCACTATCATCATTGCGTTTCTGAAGTTGACGTTGGCGACCATCCTTCTTTCCCAAAGGTCGACCCCAGTCTTGGCATGCGGCTTGTTGGGATTTCGCCACCTCCAAGGCCAAATCTTGGCATAGGCGTTCATTTTCAGCCATCATGTTCTCAAGCCGCTGTTCATTTTGCTTTGCCTGATCCATAATTGTCTGCATTGTTTCATGCATTGAAGTTGAGAGTGAGGTCTGAGCTACTGAATCAAAGTTCAAGGCACGTCGTGCGGTGATATTCTCCGGTCCCAGCATGTTTCTTGGAGTGAGGTCGTCTCTTGGTGTAGTTTCGTCAGCGACTATCGGAGGATCTTCTGTGATGCTCGCCATGAATAAGCTTGAGTATTCTCATAGACGGCGCCAATTGTGGAGGAGTAGGTTTGGAAATACTCTAGGATCCTGAAAGACGTCCCTGATCCTCTGATCGCCACCTGAAAAAGGGATTAACACTCCGGTCGGGGGTGCCGGAATTAGCATTCCGACGGACAAGTTAATATAGGTCTCTTGTTTACTTGCGTCTTAAGTTTCTTGGGTTTGTTCTCACATACCTTTCTTTGGTTGATGTTCCTCTATTTATATTCGCTTTTGGGCCCCAGGGTCAGGCCCACTCTTAATCCATCGCGTGATTGTTCATTTGGCCCCTTCTGTCGTATGCCAATTCACACTCGGCTTTTTGTTCAACTGGTTCTATGGCCGATTAGTCTATTCGGCTTCGAGATTGTACAGGACGGAGCCGAACATAATATATATCCTGAGCTTCTAAGTGTGTATTCGGCTTCTCTACATCTATCGATATTCGGTTCCCATAAATATTTACCTCATTTTTGATGGGTTGTTTCAAAAAATTATTTTGATTATTACTCTAATCCATTATTTGATTTTGTTCAAATTTTCTTCTAGGTTTTAGGGTTTCAAAATAATAAAAAAAAACAATGAAGTTAATGATGATGGTGAGTTTTGGTAGGATGGATTGGAGTTTTGGAGGGAGAAAGAAGAAGAAATAACTTTGATCTCTTTAGGAAGAAGATACAGCTTTTGAATATGAATAGGAATAGGAATAATTGATTAGGTGTATTGAGATATATTTTGGATTCAAATAGAATCCTCCAGAACATTAAAAACACATATTTGTAAACCCAACAAGCAAAATAATGTTTAGTTTTAGAAAATTGAGTCTACATTTTTTAGAAAATTCATTTTTTTTTCTCGTATTTTTTTTTTGTTATTAGTGATTTTTTTGAAATATTTTACGCAATTTTTATATTTTTTAGATACATCTAATCTAAATATATTTAAAAAGTATAATATTTGTGAAAAAAAATTAAAACAATTTACCAAATACAAAAAATAATATTTTTTTCGTATTTTTTTGTATTCAATGAATTTTTAAAAGGTTTTTGTATAATTTTTTTATTTTTTTAAGTATATTAAGATTAAGTGAATCTAAAATTTAAAAATTAATTAATCTTATTTAAAAATCATTAAAAATATAAATACAAATTGAAAACTCAAAATATTATTTTTGAAAACTGAAAAGCAAACAGGGTTGGTAATAGAAAAATTAAACACAATATTACAAAAATCTCCATAACAAAGAAAAATAATTAACTTTGCACGATCTCTTAATTAGAGGTATACAAAAATAATGAATTGAACTTTGAGACTGTAAATTTAATGATTTTATTTGCAATAATTGAAAAACTAACTAAATGTATATAAGTATTAAAATTAAGGAGAAATTAGTGAAATATCTCTCTTTAATTTTTGATAGTAGGAGAGGTCCAATATATTTTTTCTTATTAGTTAAGATCTCTTAATAATATTATTAGAGAAATTTCAACTTGTTAGAGAAAAATTCCAAATTTTTTTGTGTCAAAATTTCTCTATGACAATGTTGAGAGAACATAACTACTATGAAAATATTGCATGTCTTTATCTTATAAAATTTTAATATTAGGAATCTTAAACTAAAACTCTCTAAAATCAACTGTGTTCAAACTACTTTTGAATATTTTCATATAGATAATTATTATTAAACATATATACATACTAGCGGTCCACCCGTGCTATGCACAACAATTCTATTTCTTATTTAAAAAAAAAGGCATAAATTTTTATTTAAAATATATCTATATAATAAGGCAAGAGACTTTTTGAAAATGTCTTCAAATGTATGAGAGATACATTTCAATTCAACGGTTGAGATGAGTTGTTTTTAACCATGGAGGGCTGAGATATTTTGTGACATTTTCACATTCCCGCCCAAAACAATCCCTCTCTCGCTCTCTCTGCAACGTCCCACCCACCCACGACAAACCCAAACAATATGCACTTCTCATTGAAAGCTGAGATACTGTGTGACATTTGCACTTCTCTCTTCTCAGGTGTTAATCTCTCTCTCCTCAGATATCTCTCTCTCTTCCTCTCTCTCCCCCTCCTTTCCACTACTGCTCCGCTTCCACCGTTGCGCCGCCTCCGAACTCCACCGACAGCAACTCTTCATCTTTTCTCCCTCCCAGATCTCAGATCTCAGATCTTCTCTCTCCTCCGATCTCCACCGACAGCAACTCCTTCTGCCTCTCGAACCCGGCTTGCAAGGTAAGATTTCTGCCTCTCCCATTCTCTCTGTGTCGAGCTGTGTTTTGGTTAAGATTGTGTCAGGAGCATTCTCTGGTGCCTTTGCAACTGCGCTGACCAACCCTGTGGAAGTTCTGAAGGTATTTAGATTCAAAAGCTTTTCTAAACATCTAAAATCTTTGTCTTACTTAACGCTCTTCTTTTTTCAGGTGCGGTTGCAGATGAATCCAAACTTGAGAAGAGGAGCAATAGTGGAAATGAGAAAAATTGCTTCAGAAGAGGGAATAACGGCTCTCTGGAATGGGGTTGGCCCTGATTAGTTTAGCAGAGGGAATAGCAGCTTGCAACATATGATGAATCCAAGCGGGTCAAGTTCTAAGCATGCTATTTTTCACTTTGAATATCCACGACGTAATTTCCAAAGTTTCTGATTAGTTTAGCTCTTATTTAATTTGTAGTCTAAAATGGGTTTAGGCTTCCCATTTTGCTTTTCTTTGTATCTGCTATATTTTATTTATTTTTCTAATATTTTTTCATCTATTCCTCTGTTGCAGGTTTTGATAAGGTGGATCTCATGTATGGCTTCTAGCTGTTCCACTTCTCCTTATTATCTATTAAGTAGTGCACATTGAATTTTATTGAGTTTTAGTTTTCTCGAAACAAGTACCGTTCAAGCAAAACCCTAAGGTTGTGTTTGGATCTATGATAATTTTATAATGTTTTCATGTATAATTGTTAATTTTTCATCTACAACATGTTTCTTTGCTAGAACAAGTTTCTTGCTCTTTTGTACCAATGAAATACATCTAATCAATTGCTTCTCTTATAATATGGGCTCTCTTTACTCATCTTCTTATAATATGTTCCACTTCTCCTTATTATCTATTAATTTTTCTATAATTTGGAAAAATTACAAATCAGTGAGTTTTTAAATATTTTGTGAAGTTATCACCTATTTACTCATCTTCTTACTATACATTTTCTTTTGTATATATAGGTCCAATGTCTACGATAGATAAATGTTGGTGTTCTGATCTGTGATGAGTAGGACCCAAATTTTGGTCTTACATTCACATTTGGAAAGTTTTTTATAAGATTTGACTTTAATTTATTTTTTATTTTTTAAAATTACAGATGATTGGTTGGTGTGTATTGTTTGTTGTTTTGTTTTAATTAAATTATTTTAGAATTGGAGAGCACTGGTGTGCATTGTTTGGTTAATTTTATTTTATTATAATTGTAGAACATTAGTTTATCATTTTAATTTTAATGAACATTATAAATTTTATACGTTTATTCCTTAATTTGCATTAAGATTAGGGAGAGTTGTTATTTTTAATTGAATTCTGTAGAGGGTATGATACATATAAATTACAAATATATTTCGATCCCAATATTAATTACACCGTGCCTTTAGGCACGGATATACAGTAGTATATATATATTATGAAAATAAAATGAAAAAGATTAAAATAATTTTTTTTAATTTTTATTAGAAATGAGTGAGAGAGAGAGCACATCAGTGAGGGAGAGAGAGAGTGTCAGAGGGAATTTTGTATTTTTCTTTTTTAACTAATCTAAGTCATAAATTTTTAGTGTAGTGACGTGACCCAATTTAGACTGTGCCTCTGGAGGGAAAATGTTGGAGAGGATCTGAACTCATTTAGCCAAGCCATGAAGAAAGAGAAGGGGGGAAACCACATTGTCCCATGGCAGAGTAGTTAGAAAAAGATGTGAAAATCACATGTATTTTTATTTTTATTTTTTATTAGTTTTATATATATCATTAAACATACATTTTTATTTTTAACACATCATTGTACACTCTAAATTAATAAATTTTTAACACATAAATTAGGCCCTATTTGGAAAGTTGGCTATTTCAGTAGGCTATTTTAGTTTTTAGCTATTTTAGTAGGTTAAAATTTTTGTGTTTGGGAAGATGGTTAGAATTTTTTGTAGTTGGATGTATTGTTTGTGACAGAAAAAGTAAAATGATTATGGATTTGATATGACATTTTGTCTTATTAATTATTTTAGTCTATTTTATCTTTTTGTGAATTTTAAACTAAAAAATCAAATTTTAACCTTTGTCAAACAAGACCTCATATTTATGTTATACGACACATTAACACCCAAATTTAGTCACTTCATTATGGTGCTCTAAGTGTTCTATTTTGCTTTTTTATCTATTCATTTATACATCATTTTTTTTTAATTTTATTTTGTTTATGTATGCATTTATTTCATAGATTTTTCATGAACACCTGCAATAAAATGCCAAATAAAGGAATTACAAATAATTTGTCTTGCATCTAATCAGAGTGGCGCAGTGGAAGCGTGGTGGGCCCATAACCCAGGCTCTGATAATTTATTTGTTTTGTTGTTGGTTTTTATTTTTTTTGACAAACATACAAAATCAACCCTGGCTTTTATTTTCTGATAAAATAATAGAAAATCACTCTCTCACATATAAACGTATAAAATATTATTTTGTTGTTAGTTTTTATTCTTTTGACAAACATACAAAATCAATTTTGGGTTTTATCTTTTGATAAATAGGAAATCACTATCTCTCACACAAACGTGTAATATTGTGATTCGGGGAGTCAGTAGATACTTTTGTGTAGCTTAAACATTTTCATTATTCTTTTGACAAACATACAAAATCAACTCTAATTTAGTTCGCATGTTCGAGTTTAGTTCGCATGTTCTCATTTTCATTTTCATTATTCATTAAACATGCAATTTCACAATTTCTTTGCAATTTCAATATTAATTTCTTTATTATTTGTTTTTAAACTTACTTATCTTAATGTAAGGTAATGCGTTTTCTTTCGGTTTTCGTTTTCTCCATCAAATGCGTCCATTCTGAGTACCCGTTTTATATCTGTCTTCTAAACCACAATTTCATATGACTTCTTTTCAACATGGGTCATGTATTGCTTAATAAATATTCAAAATGTATTTAAGGTTGGAAACAAAATGAATCTGAATGGGTGTAGGTGAAGATTGAAGAAGGTGATGGAGGGTGGTTACATACACAAAACGGATGGGACTAAATTGGACAAAATAAATGGGGTTTTTTAGGCTATATTGATTTGTAAATTATGGAGGAATTAAGTTAGTTAGAGTTTGTTGTTGAATTACCAAGCGAAAAGTTTGCTTTCTGAATTTTATTTTATTAAATTCTTTCTTCAGAACACTTCCTTCTTAAATTTTCCCTCTAACCTTATGTGATCAATTAAAGGAAGTTCCAAAAAGAAAGAATTGAAAAAAAAATAAAACCCAAAGAAAATATTAATTGATTTGTGTAAATTAATGTTTTTATCAGTCATTAATTTGTATCTATGTTGACAATATGTTGTGTATGTTCGTAGTGTTTGTATTGGGTAACTGTACGGGGAGCAAATATTCCGGCAAGCCCGTACTCCTTTCGTCCGAGCTCCGTTTCTGTCTGATCACCTACGAGCAAATAACGGTGAGCTACCCGGCGGTGTGTGGCCGGAAAAACCCTCCGACAATCAAGTTAGCACACACCTTAGGATAGAGAGAGAGAGAGAGAGGGAGGAGTGTTTGAATGTAAGAATTTCCTTACAAAGTATTCATCTCTGCGCGTATGGGGGCGCAGACATGCTTATATACCCTCTGTGCCCCATATCTACTCCCAATCATCCCCTGACACGTGGCTCCGCTATCCCATCTGTCAGCATAAACCTTGCTGAACGTCACGTAATCTCAACTGCCTGCCTTCACAGCTGGAGCTCGGCAGCCGAGCTGTTCTATCCGTTTCCGTGCCGTGCCGTGCTTCATACCCAAGCACTTCACTGGCTAAGTCCAAGAAGGACCGGGCTAGGCGACATCTCGGCAAAGCCTAGCCCGAGGCACCTCCTGTGGCCGGCCTTTCTGCCAGTCAAACAGTTACCTCGGCTGACCACGCCTTTCCGGGCGCCGGTCACTCCGCTTGTCTTGCTTCGGCCATCGTCTGATCGAGCAGCTCGGTCCAACCGAGCAGCTTCTTTACGGTCTGGGGCGACACACACTCGGCCCAAGTTCTGCCCGGCCCATCTCTTGGCGGATAGTCAATCATCTCGGCCCCATGCACCGTTGGGCTCTCAACCTGCTCGGCCAATACCACGGCCCAACTCCAGATCATAAATCACCCTCTCAATTGCCCCTTAATTCCGTCCGCGAAAGCGTGACTGGGATTACTTACTTCGACCGAGATAACATTCCTCCGGTCTCCAAGATGAGAAAGGGTGACCGGGCTAGTTAACATAACTGTCTGCAAACTTGACCGGTTGTACGCCACGGCTGACGTCCTCTTCTTCAGAAGTAGCTCGGTTGGCTCTTCGACTCTTCAACCCGTCGTTTCAATGCTGACGTTCCATAAATGGGGACACGTGGTGGGCTGCTATTGGTCATCGAGCAGCCAACCCGCCGTTTTTGCCAGAATTTGAATTTGGGCGGCCTCTCATGCTTACATATACAAGACCCCCCTTATGCCATTTCTTCCTACTGCCTCTTTTCTACCTGACGATTCAGAGCTCAAGCCATTTCCTCTCATACTCGACTGCCATTCTTCGTGCTTGGAAGAACAGCTCCAGCCCTTCACAGGTAAGATCTTCAATCCCTCTTGAGTTGCTATTTTCTTTCATATTACACACATTAGGGCACAAAAACGTAGCTCTTAGGGCATAGACCACAGAATCCGTCCCAAACCTCCCACTGTTCTTGGTGTTCTTCATCTCCATGAAGAACACTGAAGAACTGGGGCGAACCGGGCTCCTGGTCTTCTTTTGATCCAAAAAAAAAACCATTCTGACCAAGCAAATAACGTGTTTGTCTCAACCCCGGCAAAAACCGAGATAACAAAAGGAATGGTCGCTCAACCGGGCTAATATCTTGCCTGCCTGGGCGACTGCTCTCTAGTTAGCTTAGGAGACCGAGGTGGTTTGGCACACTTAACGACTGAGCTAAAGACTAGCTCCTTCCGCGCGACCGCACTCACACTTACACTTGCCCTCTTTTTCCTGCAGAGTCCAAGGGGACCACTGTCCATTCCTCAGGTTCTCAAGACCGAGCGATTAACAATTGCCATTGTGCCAAACACCTCAGCCGAGCTACCACAGTCCGGCCACAAATGGGGAAATTCTGCTTCCTAGTGGATACTCCGGCCGCGCTAGCTGCTTTCAGAGAGGAGTACGGCATCCCGGCCGACGTACATCTCGAACTGGCTGAAGAGGAGACAACACCCTGGGGCAGACTAGACCAATGCCCCTTCACCGTGCTCTCAATTGTCGAAGGGGGCCTCCGTTTCCCGCTCAACCCACTTATAACCGAGTTCCTCTGCCGCACCAGGCTGGCACCCACACAAGTGTCCACCAATACTTATAGAATAATCAATGGTGTTCACGAATTGAACAATCGGCTAGGCACCAACTTGGGTCTAGCCGAGATATTGAGGCAATACACAATGGGCCACACCGGGGACGGTTTAGCTTATTACTTGAAGATCATACCGGGTAAGGAAAAAATTGTAACCGGCACCCCGGATAAAGATCTTCACGACGACGATTTTTTCTGGGTGTCGGGCAATTACGAAACAGCCGAGGTGCCGGGCTGGTTTATAAACAAGGACTTCGGTTCTTCATGTAAGCCACTCAAACTTGCTCGGTCAGCCTAACTCTTTACTCTGTAACTAACTGGTTTTCCTGTTTCTTTT